ACACACACACACACACACACACACACACACACACACACACACACACAGTCATGCATGGGTCTTGGCAATGACTTTCTGGATAGGACACCTCAAGTGCAAGCCACGAAATCAAAAATAAACAAGTGAACCGTGGAGATGACTCTTGTTCCAAATTAAGCCCCACTGCATGCTGCACGTCTCCGCTTTGAGAGGCTCCTGTAAGGGCACTGCCAGTGGGTATGGCAGGAGCTCAAGGTAAGTTTCTAAGAATGGTGTGGAGACACAGAAACCCCCACACAGTGCCGGTGGGACCGTACGATGGTGCAGTTGCTTTGGGAAACAATCTGGCAGTTTCCCAAATGATCAAACACAGAACTGCCACACGACCCGGCAATTCCACACCTAGGTGGACATGTAGACACAGAAACTTGTACGTGAATGTTCACAGCAGCACCGTTCACAGCAGCCAAAAGGTGGAAACCGGGCACCTGTCCATTAACGGGTGAATGGATAAACAGGGTGTGGTCAATCTATACAACAGAACACGATTTGGCCATAAAAAGGAACCGGGCAGTGTTATGCGGCTGAAGCTTGAAAACAGGCGGTTAAGTGTAAGAAGCTGTCACAAAAGACCACGTACTCTATGATTCTATTTATATGAGAGTCCAGGATAGGGATGTCTATAGAGACCGGAAGTACGTTAGTGATTTTTTTTTTTTAAGGGCTGGATGAGGGGCAGAAATATAGAGGGGTAATAGCTAAGGGGCAGAGGATGTCTTCTGAGGGTGACAAAAATGTCCTCAAATAGACTGTGTTGATGGTTGTACGTATCTGTGACTATACCAAAAAGCACCGAATTGTACATGGGTGAATTGTACAGTCTATGAATTATATCTCGATAAAGCTGTTGTTTGGGGATTTGTTTTTTGAAAGAGATTCTAAGAATGGCCCAGAACCGTGTGGGCTGGTTGTGCCGACACAGCAGCCAGCAACTTGCTGACCTGAATGCTGGGTCCGTGGAGGTTTGGGCCGATCCCTCCTCCGTAGGAGTGCACACCACAAACCACAAAATTGGCTCAAGTTTGACTTTCAAATTCGATTTGACATAGTGTCCATTCTAAAAATAATACAAGGGGCCCCTGGGTGGCTCAGCTGGTTAAGCATCTGACTTCGGCTCAGGTCATGATCTCACGGTTGGTGGGTTCAAGCCCCACGTCAGACTCTGTGCTGACAGCTCACAGCCTGGAGCCTGCTTACATTCTGTGTCTCCCTCTCTCTCTGCCCCTCCCATGCTCACGCTCTGTCTCTGTCTCTCTCTCAAAACTAAATTTAAAAGAACATTCGAAAACAATACAAAACTTAGATTTTTCGGACATTCGGTTAAAATAATAACAAGGAAAAAACCCAATTCTACACTCTATGAAAACATCATGCTATGATCTGATCTGTTTTCGATTCTTCCAAAGTTTGCATGAACTACCAACCGGCGAAATTGCTTTAATAAACCATTTCTGGGAGGGGAGGTCAACTCACCTCATAGCCGGCTGTGAAGGCGGCCAGCCTGGAGAGAGACTGCTTCCCTGAGCCTCCGACCCCCACGAGCAGGGCGTGGCCGCGGTCCATTCGGATGATGCGGTGCACGCGGGTTAGGTGTTCCAGGGCATCGTCAAAGAGAACCAGGTTCATCTTGGTGTTGCTTTCATTATACTCCTCAAGAATTTCCTGAAAAAAAAAAAAAAAAAAAAAAAAAAGGTTCACTGGATTTTGAGAGACAGACTTTCCTTTTGTCCGGGAGAAATTAAGAACGGAGGAGAGATTCTTCCCCCCCCCCCCAATAATCTATAGTGGTTGAAATAATTAAATTGTTTGGGTTTATGGGACTAAATCTAGTATTGGCAATTAAGGCTTCTATGGGCTGGTTTGTGATCGGCCAGCATTGAGCCAAAGCTGATTACAAGGCTCAGTTCATGAATTAAAACGAAAATGGATAGCAGAGAGCTGAGTGGTTCCCAAACCTGGCTGTGCATTGGAACCCTGGGACCATCCCTGGGCTGGATGAATGGAAACCCAGAGGGGTGAACCCTGGGGTCTGTGTATTTAACACATTCCTCAGGTCATCCCCACGCACCACTGGACGTGGCAACCACCGGATAAGACACAAGCTCTCATTCTGAACCCCGAGACACAGGCATGGGTATTCTTCCCAGTGCTGGGCTCCGCTGAGAAGCGCTCCCAGGAAAAGTGAGCCTGTGGAGAAGGTAAGCCCCATCCACACCTGAAACAAAGCCTTGGCTGCCTCGTAATCCTGGATATCTTCATAAATGCGTGTTTCCTCTTCCTGCAGGGCCGTCCGGAAGTCTCCAAACAGGATGGGATCCCTCATCACCACCTCCATATCATCGTTAAAATGTTCCATAACCAGGTTGCCTATGTGGTCTTGTACCTTTTGACAGAAGACCGCTTAAGGACTCAAACTCGACAACATATATGTGCTAAAACTTGTCAGAAAAAGAACATATGCTAAGATTCTCTGAAGTACTTTGCATTCTTTTCTCTGTTGCAAGGTACTCCATAATCCACCCTCCTCTATCCATCAACTTCTGTTGTTAGTGTATTTTTCTCCAATTGGTGAACTATATTTAAAAAAATACTTGGGGGGGGGGTGGGTATGCTTGTTTACTTCACTCAGAGAAGAATTTTGTAGTTAGAGTTTTGAATTTGCTGGTATAGTTTGATGTACTGACCAGCTGCTTGTCTGTTTCATTGATTAATCGGTCGTGGAAGATCCTCAGACACTCGTTTCTCCAGACTCTCACCATCTGGGTCACCGTCTGGAACCTACATGATGGAAGGAGCAAAATCAGTCGTGAAGCCATCTAGAGAGAGAGGGGATAAATGCTATTTTCAGATGGATACACAGGGTGTGGAAAAGGACAACATTTCTATAGTCCTTTCTCCCCCCCCGGTCTCACGTTAATGAAATTTTAATGGAAGCTAACAAATTAAGTGTAAAGACCATAAAATCATCAGCTATAATTTATCCTCCCGTAGGGAAGAAAAAGAACGTTATCCGTAAATGACATAAGTGACATAAAATGGGTACCCGACACGGCTTCTACTTGCTGGAATATAAGAATTTAAAATCAGCATCAAGGCCACTGGCAGCTTCGTATTTTAAGAACCAGCTCCATCCGGCCCCAGTTCGAGAACTTTCTCTGGTTGCTGGCAAAGAGCCCTTACTCCCCCCTTAAATCCCTGAAGCTGCCTTCCCGTGGTCTTCCTCAAGGGTACCTGAGAACAAGTTTGGGTATGTGGAAGGTCCTCAACTAACTCACTTTTCAATTTTTTGTGGACTCAACGTGAATCCACAAAAGTGGACTCTGCTTGCAGACCTACATAAAGCGCACGTTAACATAAAGACAGAAGTCTAGCTTTAATGAGAAAAGTTTTACACCCAGATTTAATCCTTTCCGTCCCTTGTGCTTACTTCTCCATTTTGTGGGTCTTTCACAAAATGTAACTAGCAACTGCAAACAATTCAGGTGCATTAGCAAAAGGCAACTTTAGAAAGAATACACAGTCAGTCGAGCATTGCCACCAAGGGCTTAAATATCACGTGTCTACGCATCTGTCTTTCACGGCTCCCCTGTCTTCAAGTCAAGGGCTTACAAGTCATCTGGCCTTAACCAAGCCCTTAACCCTTTTCTTCATTTAACAAACAAAAAGACACTGGGTGATTAACTGATACATTGATTCATCCATTTCATTGACAAGTCCTCTGTCTTAAACGAAAATCCACCATCATACCCATGGGCCACATGGGTATGGAGAGAAGACAAACTCACCGCCCCGGATCAGTGAGGAGAAGACCATTAAAAATTCTTGAGAGGTCCCGAAGATTAAAGATGTAATGGAACTTGGATGGTGTGGGAGGCAGGTCCTGCACAATGGTTTTGTAAAGCGCCAATGTGCAGAAGGTCAGCTTGTCACTCACAGCCATGATGCTTTCATGAAACACCTAAAAATTGAAAAAACACCCCAAGTGTCTATCGATGGATGAATGGATAAGCCAATGTGGTCTATCCATACAACGAATGGCACGTCATTTGGCGACATCGAGGAGTGAAGCACTGATATGTGCCACCACACGGACGCACCTTGACAACATGATGCCAGATGAAAGCCTCCAGTCACAAAAGACCACATGGTGTACGAGTCCCTTTATACGAAATGTCCAAAAGAGGCAAATCCAGAGAGACAGAAGGCATATTAGCAATTGCCAGGGGCTGAAGGATGGGATAGTGGGACTACTTTTGGGTGATGAAAATATTCTGGAATAAGGTGGTGGTGATGATGGTACAACATTGTGAATGTACTCAATGCCAGTAAACTGTACTTTAAAGTGGTTAAAACAACGAGTCCTACACTATGTGAATTTTATCATAATTTTTAAAGAGGAGATAAGAGGGGCGCCTGGGTGGCTCAGTCGGTTGGGCGGCCGACTTCGGCTCAGGTCATGATCTCGCGGTCTGTGAGTTCAAGCCCCGCGTCGGGCTCTGTGCTGACGGCTCGGAGCCCGGAGCCTGTTCCAGATTCTGTGTCTCGCTCTCTCTGACCTTCCCCCATTCATGCTCTGTCTCTGTCTCAAAAATGAATAAACGTTAAAAAAAATTAAAAAAAAAAAAAGAGGAGATAAGAAAAAAACTGAAAAAGCCAGAGAAACTCACCATCTGATTTGCTCTGTTTCCCTAGATTTTCTCATTAACTGACAAGTCGACATGATGTGAAACCAAAGCCCACACCAGCCCTCCGTTGGAGTCTGACTGGACTAGGGCAGACCTCACGGTTTTGGAAGCGAATGGCTTAAGGTAAGGCACGAAACACCAGGTGCTCACAGTCCCTGGTGATCACACCTGGCCACTCCACACCTTTACCTTTCCTGCCCCTGAAGACTGTGTGCAAACCTCACTTTAGGAGGAAAATGCCGGGACCAGAAGGTCATCATTTAAATGCATGGGTTCCATTTGTGGGATGGCCAAGTTAAATCGACATAAGAAGAGCGGTAACTAGTATCTAATGAGCATCTGCTATGTTCTAGACGCCATACCGCACATTTTAGGTGCATTCTCGGTGAGGTGGCTGCCACCGTCATCCCCATTCCAGATGAGAACTGGGTCCAGAAGAGCTCAACGAACTTGCCCAAGGAGCAGCATGGGGCCTGACTCCGGGTCCTGGTCCCCTAGTTAATTCACTGCTGCGGCTCAATGTGACCCATGTAACTCAGGGCCACATCATGACCTCCATGGACCCAAGGCACTTTTGCCTTCTGGGCCCCTTCCTCCATAAAAATATGTTACTTTATCTTTTATGACTGCACTGATATAAAGAGGCATATAATCCAGACTGGATATTTTTTCTTCCAGTTTTGAAAGGAAACATTTTTGTGTGCCCCTAAAAGTACCGTGGGCCTTGTGCCTGCTGTGTCTAATGCCCAAGAGGACCATGCAAACACTCTACCCAACAGAAGGCCCTCTAGTTCAGACTGCTAATTAAATTTTTTTAATGCTTATTTATTTTTTAGAGAAAGAGACAGAGTGATGGCAGGGAAGGGGCAGAGAGAGAGAGGGAGGCACAGAATCCGAAGCAGGCTCCAGGCTCCGAGCTGTCAGCACAGAGCCCGACACGGGGCTCGAACCCATGAACCGTGAGATCATGACCTGAGCCGAAGTCAGACGTTTAACCAACTGAGCCACCCAGGCGCCCCTAGACTGCTAATTAAAATCAAGTTACCGAGGTATGGCCTTTCAGAATGGAGGAATAAATTAAATGCAAAGACTCCTCTGAAGGAAATGGTACATTGAAGACATTGAACAGCGAAATAAATCTCGGATCAACTTCATTGCGGCCTCCTCCAGCTTTTCCCATCGCAGCAATAAAGCCAAGGTCTCGAATGCTTTTGCAGTTTAGCTCCTTCCCACGGTCATACAGGTAGCCTTTTTCCAACAGCAGTTTCAGCAAGGCAATCGGCTGCTGTGTGCCATATTCATCCACCTTGATTTAGTGTTTAAAGAAAGGAGATAACAGTAGTATCGTAAAGCAGAACTCAGGGATGCCTCTGCTAACCATCTAAACTAATTCTCATCTCTCCTCTTACTCTCTCAGAGCGCTCTGGTTTTAGTTTCATGGGGCTTCTCGAGGTTTGCAACTACATATTCATTTGTAATTATTATTTTTTTTATCTGTCTGCCTTACTCAACTGTAAACTCCATGAGGGCAGGGACTACTTATGTTCTGTTCGTCACTGCACAGCACCAGACCCATAGGAGGCGCTCAATAAATACACGTTAATTGGATGGATGCACAGATGGATGAAAGGGTATGTGGGTGTGTGCATGGATGGGTGGATGGGTGGAAGGAAGGAAGGTGGATGAATGGGTGTATGGACAGATGGAT